CACGGGTCATGTGAGAGCTGGCCTCTTTCCTGCCTGTGGACCTCATAACTAATGGGCCTTGTTCACTTGGCTGTCAGCAGAAGGATGCCTGCTGGCATGGGCACGGGCACACTGGGAGGCAGTTGGCAGTCAGCAGGTCTGAGGGGTGGCCAGGACTCTTGCAAATCTGTCGCAGGTAGGCGCCCAGTCTCAACAGTACACCTCTCTGCAGGGGCAGAAGCGTCTGGTGCTCTCTGAAAGCTGTTCCCGGGACTCAATGAGCAGCCAGCCCAGCTGCACAGTGCTGAACTACTCATACGGTGTGAATGCCTGGAAGTCCTGGGTGCAAGCCAAGTATGCAGGGGGAGAGACCAGCAAGGGAGAAGAGCTACGCTTCGGCCGTAAGTGCCCTGTCTGGATGGGGTGGAGTGGCAGAAACCTCCTAGAAGCTGGATCCCAGGGTGCTGAGGTGCTCCTGGCCTTGCAGGCTATTGTCTGAGGCTGCTGTGCCTTGTCTCCACAGCCAAGCCCATGAGGATCAAGGAAGACATCTTGGCCTGCACAGCCGCGGAGCTCAACTACGGCCTGGCCCAGTTTGTCAAGGAGATTACACGGCCCAATGGGGAGCGCTATGAACCAGACAGCATCTATTACCTCTGCCTTGGCATCCAGCAGGTGAGGAAGGGCTTGCTGCGCTCAAGTCCTCCATGGCCAGACCTGGGGGTCAGATCTGGTGAGGTGAGCTTGTACCCTTTGTTCTGCCTTCTGGGGACCCAGAGAGGCTCACTGGACTCTCCTTCAGTGCCTCACCCCAGGACAGCAGCCCATCTGGTTCAGTCTTTCTTCTTAAGCCCAGCAGGTAGCGTGGCATCTATTCCCCAGCCTTGCACCCTTCTTGCATATCCTTGAGGAGGGCTAGGAGATCTCCCCAAATTCAGTCCCTTCTTCAGCACTAAGTCTGCTTTGTTGTGCCCCAGGGTTTTCCTCACAGCTCTCAGAAGTGGCTGGTTTTAAGAGTCTGCTCTGCAACTCTGGTTGTACAAGGAGGGCTGCTCTGCATGTGTGGCCTGGGCTCTCTGGGGAGGGTTTGCATTCCAGGTGCTGCCGTGTCTCTCTTGACTGTGTGTTCTGTCCTTTCTAGTACCTGCTCGAGAACAATCGTATGGTGAATATATTTACAGACCTTTACTACTTGACCTTCGTGCAGGAGCTGAACAAGTCCCTGAGTGGCTGGCAACCCACAATCTTACCAAATAGTATGTGTCTCCAGAGTACCTTCAGTCACCACACGTACCCAGTTTGTGCTTCTAGCCTTGGATACTCCAGTCTGATCGTGCTCCCCTAGCCTCAACCCTCTTCCTTGGCATAGGCAGCATGGTCCAGATGTGTCTTGGGGTCATACTGACCCATACTGACAGTGGAACTAGTCTGGTTTAAGCCTCAGCAGCTTCTGTTGTCCAAAGTCAGGGTAGCTGGGAGCAGAGCATGGCTGCTTTGTGTCCTGGGACAGCGTGAGTCTTTACAACACTTAACAGTGATGTCCCCACTCTTTGGCAAAGAGGATACCAAGCTGACCAAGAATACGCTGGCCCATACTTTTGTGTTCGCAGCACATGGGCGAGCCCTGCACACTGTACTAAGTGTTGGCCACAGTTGCTGTGCTGCTGCCTTGTGAACAGACTAACTTGGAGCTCTGTAGAGCCTTTTCATGATGCTGTTATCTGGGCTGCCTTCCCTGCTGTGTCTTGTCAGTGGTTAGTTCACAGACCCAGTTTCACCTCTGCATATTGGCTGTCCCACACAGAGGCATTTGGCTCCAGACCTGTGTGTCTAGGCAGGAGCTGGCCATGTCTGTCCTGCCTCCTGCTTTTCCTTCATCTCATGCTGAGTCTGGTGGAGCACTGACCTGGAGTTCACTTTGGGGACATCTATAGGGATGAGCAGTTAGGATTGATGTGGGTTCTGACCTGTGGTTTGCCTGCACTCTGGGGTGGCTCGTGGCTGGGTAGAGCCAGCATCTAGCTCTGCTGATGGCTCTGGAGAAGTTACTTTGTGGAAAAGGGGGTGTTGTGAAGCATCAGTCTTTTGCAGTGAGCTTACCTGGGCAGGGTGAAGGGATTGTCACAAGGCCACTGTTGATGTGACCTGGTTCTTCCTCTGTGCGTTGCAGACACAGTTTTCTCACGTGTTGAAGAGGAACACCTCTGGGAGTGCAAGCAGCTGGGTGTTTACTCACCCTTCGTGCTCCTCAACACCCTCATGTTCTTCAACACCAAGTTCTTCGGGCTGCAGACAGCAGAGGAGCACATGCAGCTCTCCTTCACCAATGTGGTGCGCCAGTCCCGCAAGTGCACCACAGCCCGTGGCATGACAAAGGTGGTGAGCATCCGCTACTATGCTCCTGCCAAGCAAAAGAAAGGCCGAGGTAGGGTCTGACAGAGCTTCTCTCTGTCCCTTCCCCTGCCTCCCCTATTGGGTCCCAGCCATGATCCTGCTCTCTCCCCCTCTGCAGATGGTGGTTCTGGAAAGCGGAAGCGTGAGGAGGAGGTACCAATGCTGGAGCAGCGGGAGAACAGGATGAACCCACTCCGATGCCCAGTCAAGTTCTATGAGTTTTACCTCTCCAAATGGTGAGGCTTTCTTTGGAGAAGGGGCATGTGCCATTTTGGGGCCAGCTCTCAATTTTGGTGGGACCCTGTGGTGTAGCTGCTGCTCTCCAAACTTTTGTACTTGAGTGTGAAGCTTTGCCCTGCGTCTGTGCTGCTTGTATAGACCATGGTTGAGAAAATGCTTCTCTCTGGCCCCTTTCTGCTACTTGCCTCTCTCCAGACAGGCAGGAGCGTGCAGTATGAGTCCCCATGCTTGGCTGGTTAGGGGCTTTGGTCCTGAGCAAGGAACTGCAGACTCAAGTTTGTGTCCTTGTCCTTCCGAAGGATGAAAGGCTGTGACAAGCCGCCTCTCCTTGAGAACCATGAGGGCAGGCCAGGCTTTCTGAGCCTGTGGAGCTCATATCCCAAGGCTCACTTTCCTCTCTCTTTACAGTCCTGAGAGTCTGCGGAACCGCAACGATGTCTTCTACCTGCAGCCTGAACGGTCATGCATCGCTGAGTCCCCGCTCTGGTACTCAGTCATCCCCATGGACCGGAGCATGCTGGAGAGCATGCTGAACC